CAGGGTCCCTGCTCTGAGCACATCCCAGCTGGATCTCCGCTGTACTGTCACTCGCATGCTTCTCCCATCCCGCACATTGCATGCCACGATGGAGATTCGGGGGCAGGGTCTCAGAATGGCCGGGAGCTGAGCCCTCCCACCAAGAGAGGTCCCCGCAGGCCTCTCCCTGCCTGGTGCACGGTCCCCTCCCTGAGCTTTGCCTTAGGCCTTGCAGCTTCCTCCAGACGGCAGTGGTTGTAGCTCCTCTGCTCACCTCTCTGCTCCTTCCTTCACTCAGTCAGTCAACAAACACGTTGACAAACTAGCGAGTGCTACCATAGAGTGGGCCCCTGAGGACTCCTCTCACAGCCTTCTGAGAGGAGAGGTGTGTTCGCACAGGGCCACGCATGTGCCAGCGGCCAGGCAGGACCCTTGGCTCGGCTCAAACGTTCAGAGCCAAGCCCTGCAGTAAGGTGGATTGCCTTCCCTTCTGGATTCCTTGTAAAACTAGGCTATTCCTAATCAGCCAGCCATGTTCCTGGGTGCTCAGAAATCACAGCCTATGTCTTAGGAGGCTGAAGTGCGAGTTGGGGGGGGGTTGAAAATGCGGATTCCAGCTGAGCAGGCTTCTGGTCATCAGAACACACTGCTCTTTCCAGAGGTGCTCTGAAGGCCGTCTCCGCCCCTTTAGGACTGGCTAGTGTGCAGCCCTAGTTAGAGATGACTGGGGAGATGATTGCTCATGTGGGTGGCAGGCGCAGGGGTCCATGGGTGCCCCAGGAACTTGCCACTTTGCAATCTCTGGGTCTAGCCCCCAGACAGGCAAGACCTTCCCTGAGGTTGCTGCCACCTGGGTGGGGTGAGGTGAGGTCCTGTGGGCTCTACCTAGAACTGGGATTTGATTCATGGCGCCAGGAGGAGGGCAGCGAGAGAAGCCAGGACCCTGGAGTTGGACAAACTTGCTGTGAGAGTGGACGCCTGTCGTCCGGGGACTGTGCACCCACCTCGCAGGGCTGTTGTGAGGATGACTGTAACCATGCCCTCGTGGGCTATGACTCTGGAAGACCGTGCGCGTGCCCCTGGGGGTCTGCCAGGGGTGACAGAAGAGGCCAGAGGGCAACCTCCTTCAGAGGGGGGGACACTGAGGACTCCGAGCTTGTTGGGGTACAGCTGGGATGGAATGCTCAATTTGCATGGTGTTTTAAGATGAAAGGGGCATAATTTTGGCAAGAACTTTCACGCTAGGTGTCGAGAGACTCCTTAGGCAGGCCCCTGGGGGTACGTGTTCACGCTCACTCTGCAAAAGGTTCGAAATGCTTGGCTATGCTTGTGACTGCTCTACCTCTGTCCAGCCTGTGGGCAGCACCTACCCCCGTGTCCCTCCAAAGCCCTCCCAGTGGCGTCCTACCGCCCAAGGGTTAGGCAGCAGCCTCCCAAGATCGTGCCCTGTCTCTTTCCCAAGGTCCTCTCCCCTTTGACAACCTTGAGGCCACGCCCACAGTCAGGTGCCCAGCACAGTGCCTGGTGAGAGGTAGGGCCCTCTCCAGTCTCTCCAATGGATGAATAGCTGACGCAATGTAACCGTCCGCAAATGCGGGCCGGGGGGTGGTGGGTACTTATAACCTTTACCCAGAGATTGTATTCTGCTCTTAATCACCCTGTTAACAACTGCTATATTGTATCGTCTGCACTTCTGTATACCAGTGTTGTTGGAAAAGCAGGCTTCTTCTTTGGGGTCACGTGCTGGAACGTTCCCTGTCCTATGAGAGTCTATGTTTTGTGTTAGAAAGAGCCGAACTCGACAGACCCTAGGTCGCTTAACTAACTGCACAGTTGGGCCAGTGGCTTCTCTTGGACCCTGTCTCCTTTTCCCCAAGCTGTGGCCACCTGAAAGCCTACCTCACAGGGCTGTTGTGAGGGCCCAGGGCCGGGCACTGGAAGTGCCCCACAGTGACTTTCACGGGGATGCTTGTGTGGGGATGACGATCCTAGTCTTAGGTGAATGGAAGGTCAGCTGTGCCCTCGTGCTGGGGTCGTATGCCCACCCGACAGCAGGCCCCGAGTGCTCTGCACCGCCAAGTGGTGTGGCCCGGGGGGAGCGGGTACGGCTCACGGTGCCAGCCTTTCCCTCCCTCGGAAGTGCCCCCCTTCCACTGTGCTCTGTTGCTTCCCTCGTGAGGCTGAGCTGCTCGGGTGCAGGGTGCCACGCCTGCAGGTGCACCTGAAGGGGCTGCTGCAAATGCCTTTGTGCACCCCACTTTAGCTTGTTAGGGGAGTAGCGAGGAGGGGCTTCTGGGCGACATATCTGGGAGGCTACACCCCATTGCCCTCCATTGTGCTCCTAATTTCCATAACGCCCTGTCCCTGTTTTCCTTAGAGGGACATAAGTTAGTCTTTAACGCCCTCCGTGTTCCCAGCGCCAAGCTTGGCTCTGATCTTCCTCCCCTGCTCTCCTGGGGAGGGGCCCGTTTTACAGATAAGGAAACAGCATCGGGGATAGCTGGGGGCCTGAGCCAGCGTTTCAGACGCGCACGAACAGCCCGAGCTCTTTAATCTCCACTGAGCGAGGCCTCGTGGTCACTCTGGCTCACCCCGCCAGGCACGGCCCATGGTCTCGTGTGTTCCTTCCCCCCGCACCAGGGCCCACGCACTGGCAGAGGACTTGCAGGAAGGGCTGAGGAGCTCCTGGTCAGCCTGGAGACTTAGCTGCAGTGGAGAAGAAACTGTCTGGGTAGGAGTCTTGGACCTCCCGTGCAGGGCACCTTGCGGATAGAGTTTTCGCCAGACCACTGATGGCTTTCTAGCCAAAGCTCACCTGGTGGGACTTGCATTGAGGGTCCACTCTGCTCCCTCCCCAGCAGTTGGCCCTGGCCCCACTTGTTGTGTTCGATGTCCACAGCCTCAGCTATCAGGCCCTGGCCCGCCCTAGGTCTCGCGGCAGCCTGAGTGTTTATCGTGAGACTCGGCCACTGCGCCTCTGCCCTGTGCTGCTCACCATCAGGGGCGCGGACACTGTCCCCCAGCGCTCCCCTTCCCCAGGCTTTGTGTCTATACCCCGTCCATCCCCTGTGCTCCCGTGGGGCCCAGGCAGCCCACAGACCAGGCCTGTGCATGACCCATGCATGTGGGGACTGTCCCCTGAGGTGGTCAGGGCTGGGTCCCCATCACCTGAGGTAGGTGAGAAAGCAGAGATCTGGTGAGGTTCTGGCTAAGCTGCACTTGACCCCAACTCTGAGGCCTAAACTGCCTGGCCATCCCCAGCCCTGCTGCATAGCAGGTGCCTGGAGAACCCGGGGAGGGACCATGACTGAATGCGTGTGGCACTGACTAGGCTGACTGCTGTGCATGTAAGAGGGTGGGTGTGCTTTTGCAGACCCTGAGGGGTCTCTGCCTGTCTGAGCCCTAGGCCCAGGAAACAGGCAGCACTGGAAATCCAGCTTTGGAAAGATTTCTCTCTAGGATACAACCGCAGCTGGGCTAGCTGTCCTGGTTCTACTGCAGCCTGGGCGGATCTGAAATGTGGCATTTGGCAATTTCCAAATCAGAGGCCTCTTGGCCATGCCACACCCTCCCTGAGGCTGGCTGGAGGCCTTAGCACTTTGCCCAGGGAAGGAGGCTGCTCCACCTGAGCTGTCTCGGTCCCACTCCTGGTGACAGTCAGTATTGACCTGAGGCCGTATGCCCAGTTGGGATGCAGCTGCGGGCATCAGCAAGCCTGATGGGGAGGTGGCCTGAGCTCTGGACCTTGATTCTCTGCCCACTCTT